GCACTTAGGAGCAAACACTTTTACACACATATTCTTCTAAATACAGACCACTCACACAGAGCAGCATAATGTAGCTCTTACATATACTCTCAAAAACATAGCCTTGCCAACCTCCTTCTTTCTGTTAGGATCACCCACCCATATACACCTCTCAGATGTGATAGCTTGAGTTATTTACTCCTCATCCTAGTCTTCAGCAGATATGCAGGGTCCTATTTAAAGCGTGATAGAGGGACTGAATATTCTATTTGTTTTCATCTGATCAGAACATGAAGGAGTGAAAACTCCCCTCACTTGCACCACAAACTTTTGTATGGATACATCTGATGAAGTTCCACAATGTGTGATTTGGGGTAAATACTTAACCTACCTAAGTAATCTGCCTAAGTCTCAATCTCTTCAACTGTATATTAAGAATTATAATGAAAAATAACTCAAAGAATTTTTGTGAGGGTCAATTAGATAAAGTGTGATGCTCTTAGGGCATCGAGTAGCAAAGATCTTAATACATAGTTGATTTTATTTTATAACTAGTATAGATTCCAGTGAGGATCCAGGTTCCACATTTAAGTTTTTCAAGCCACCTTAAAGAAATACCTGTATCTCCCACTTAAAGTTATGGAGTTGAATCTTAATCTTAAGTGCAGTCCCTATGCTTATCCCTATTACAATTCATTTTGCTGGTTTTGTTCCCTGGCCCGATCTGTCAACAATCGTTTTGGATCCAGCCGTTCAACAGTGATAACATTTGATAATGATGAGAAAATGCTTGGGTGGGCTATCAGAGGAGTCAAAGCTAGTGAATGCACCAAAGAGAATCAGTAAGAAGTCAGATAAAGGGAGAGCTTGGGGCGAATGTCTCATGAGGGAGCGTTCACAAGATGGACAGAAAATAAAGAGAGGAGGAAAATGATAGATATAATATAGAGATGTCGAAGTGGAACATAAGTGGAGGCTAACACTAATTAAAAATTATTAGGAAATGGCAGGAAAACAGTTAACATCCATGTAATGGAACATCCATGTGAGAAATACTACTCGACAATTAAAGAGGAATGGACTATTGATAAACACAGCAACTTAGATGAATCTCAAAGGCATTTATTAAGTGAAAGCTAATTTTAAAAAGTTATATGCCCTATGATTTTTATTATATGACAGTCTTGAACAGACAAAACCATAATGATAAAAAACAGATCAATGATTGACAGGGGTTAGGGTTGGGATGTATAACTATAAAGGGCAGCATGAGGGAGTTATTTTTGGGTGTTGAAACTGCTCTGCATCTTGAAGAAGTCAATTTTACAGTATGGTAATTAGGAGAGAGAGAGAGATGAGGCCTGGAGAAGATCAGATGGCTAGAGAGTGTTTCTGGAGACACTGCACCTCCCCATACTTATACACACGTGCACAAATAGCTATGCCCATGTCCACAAACCACCCATGAAGGAAGAGGAAAGGGATGAGACTCAGAGAAAGAAGCCTTTTAGAGGTTTCGTAAAATGTTTGGAAATGTGGGGGTAAAAATATATTTTTCATATTTCAGGCAAAAATAAAAAGGAAATAAAGAAAAACTGAAACATCTTCATTACCATGTTTAAATTATTAAATGTGTAAAACTCCCCTTTCATTCATAAATCAGAATCGTTGAATAATTGCCAAACTCTGTATCCATAAACAGGATGCTTGAAAGCTGTGTGTTGCTTAGATTTTTTTGTCCCTTCCCTAGAACTGCTGAGTAGGCATGACCATGCAACAAATGCATCCACGTAAAGCTCTCGGAATAACACCTGAAACTGGATGTTCGTAATGTCTGTGAGAAATTCAAATCTGCCGTGAATTAAATAAATCAGCCCTTGCCACATTACACAAATAAAATTGTTTATTTTTTAAAGGTTTGCATTAACAGGTTGGGAAGTTTATAGAATGTTAGGCAGTCATACTTGGGAAGACCATAAGCTGATGGGGAAACACAATTACTACCCTGGCTGAACTCATGATATGACAGAGAATAAACTGTTCTTATTGGTAATCCCTCAGGAGGAAAGCATAGGCACAATTCCTGCTTTGATGTCAGTACTGACTCAAGACATTCTGTGTGGGAGGGTCCTGGCTTTGGCAAACTGGGTAGTAGAGGTCAGCATGAGAAGAGAGACTAAGAGACTTGTCTGGAAGCTGCACACATTTGGAAGAACATTGTTAAATCGTACTGTAAATATCCCTATATATGACTGGATCAGTTGCTAAATATTGATTTATTAATTGAAAAGGCTTTTCAAAACAAGGAATTATAAAAAAAGAATGTTTACGTTATGAGTTTTACTTAAAATTAAAACCTATACATGTGCATTTATTTTAGAAAATCAGTACTTTTCAATATTCATTCTGTTGTTTTTTGATTGACTTTTGAGAATTAATACAGGTCGTTCAAAGATCAATAGAGTGTCAGATCATATTATGGCATACTTTGCTACCACGTGAGTAAATTTGGGTTCTCAATTGATCCCATCACTTCTTCTTATTTATATTTAGATACCTCTGTTTCTTTTTCTGAATATAAGAATTCTGTATCATACTTGAATTTTTACCTGAATTTTTTTCAGCATATTGCTTCTAAATTTGCCCCATACATTTACTGTTGTAGGCTGTCTTCCCGTAACAACCAAAGGAAAAGCATTGAAAAAACCATCTAATGATTTTTTGGGAAATAAGGTAATATACTGCATTTGACATTTTTACAAAAATATTTTACTTGCTTTAGAATTTTAAAACCACTAATTTTTTTTTTCTCCCACTGACATCCTTGCAGTGGTCAGTAGGGATACAGGTTCCCTATATGCAGTTCATATTCTGGAATGATGTACATTTCAGACCAAATGGCAAAGGTAACTAGAAACCTATATCCCTAAATGAAATATACCCAACATGCTAACTTTAGAAAAGTAAAATAAGTGGTACATAGAGAAAGACAATCAAAATGACAGTGAATGGAACCTTAGGCTCAACTTTGTAAGAACCATCACTAACCACTTGCACAATGACTGAATCTTTCAGGAGAAGACATTGTTAGTTTTGAGTTGTCCTGTATTCACATATCCCTCCTAATTTGAAGGAATCACTTATTATTTAGGATTTAGTTTTTGATTAGTTCTCTCCCACCAGAGGGTCTAACAGGATGAGATTTTTGCTCTCCTGAAGCTCCAAAACTGGGCCACAGTGTTATCTAGGCTCCAATATTTAGATTGTATAACTTGGTTCAAGAATGATTAAAAAAAAGTAAATTCAATTCTATAACTCGGTTCAAAAGTGATATAAAAAGTAAAGAATGGAAGCTGTGACAGTGGTGTCCTCAGCACTAGGATTCATAGCTGTAGCAGTAGGTTCCATTCCCCGTTTCTGCTAAGAGAGAATTGATGGACTTCTACTACTTGTTCCGTGGGAAATGCTTTATTTCCTGAAATGTTGCAAAAAATTCTGAATGTCACCCCAATATTTTTCCAATATTCTCTATTAGTTTAGAAGAGCCAGAGTCAATTTCTGTAACTTGTCATTTCTGTTGCTTACAAAGTTTTCTGAATAATACGGTAAATCTTATAAATGGGATTTTTCACATTGGAGATTCTCTGGCTCTTCATTGCTATTAACATCCATGTTGAAGTTGATGGAATATTCTTAGAGTGCTCACTGACTGGATATGACATCAGTATGGAAAGTTTCTTAGGTGAAGCAGAGAGAATCTAGACTGGACTGATTATTTCCTGGGCTCTGTACATAAGCTTTCAATCAGACAATAGGACGTTGGGAGGAAGCCCAACTAGAAAAAACAACTTAGAAATAAGAAGAAACAGCAGTCTTCCAAGAGCAATATACATGGCTTTTTAGGTTACACGTCCATTGCTAGACTAGCTCCATATAGCAGCACAGAACTAATAAGAGAGGAGTAAGTTAATTATCATTACATATAACATTAACAACAGACACTAGACTATGGTTCAACCAAATGAATAGCATGAAGACTTAAAAGATTTTGAAGAAAGTGGAAGGAAGAAACTATCCTATCAGTGCATAACATTACTTTTGCCAGGTTTTCTGCTTTGATTAGCAGAAAAATTTTATGAAATGAAAGAACCCTGAGTTCTTTTATGTGAGAAACAAGAAAGGAGAGATAGAAACAGGGGCAACATTTAAATCTATAGTCAATTTTTCAGGAGAAAAATATCAAGAAGTAAAGTAAAAGGCTGGAAAAAAGGAAAAATTAGCATGTGATTATTCAGCAGCCATTGGGAGAAGGAAGGGAGCGCCAGGGGATCTGGCTTCAACTAGCTGATACGAAACTGGTTGGTTGCTGTTGGGCTTTCAATCTGTATCCGTTTCCTTTTACTAAGAAAATACACTGGTTTACTAAAGGAAACTGAAATTTCAGGAGTAAGCTTTCTAGACTTCTACACATTTGCTACTTTTCTTCACGAAGTTTTGTTTACTTACAGAGCAACATCATTTCCAATACAGTTCAATTCAAAACATAGGGATGGTAAGATTATAAATATTCTAATTCCCCTTTATATAATACATAAAATGTAACTCCAACTGCACATCTTTCTTCAAATGAACTGTGTTTGAACCAGGCTGTTTTAGTCTACTTGTCTTGTCATTGTCTAAAGTAGTACTTATTCTTCCTTTATACACAGGATCTAGAATGTCCCATCTCATCTGTTCCCTATATGCCGTTCTAATATATATTTTAATATGTATATTAGAATACATATATGTTTTTATAATATGTATACTAAAACATTATAATTATTCTATTGTAAAATATACATTCCAATACAAGTGTAATATTAGAATATATATATACACTCAAGTCATCTTCTAGCTTTGTATAATAATTAAAATCTTATCTAACTCTAAAAAAGAGACTGAGTTTAAAACGAAGGTTCTCTTTCAATAATGTAAAAAGCCAAAAAATCCTGAAGCTCTGAAGATTCTGAAACAAAGGCTCAAGCCCTAGTGTGCACACAAAATAGGCAAATGATACTTCTCTGAATCTGCTTGGTCTTAATGCTGTATATAATGGGGTTCATGAATGGAGGAAAGAGAAAGTAGACATAGCTCATGGTAACATGGACCACATGTGGTGCATTCTTCCCAAACCTGTGGATGAAAGTCAGGCCAATCACGGTGATATAAAAGACTAGGACACAGCTAATGTGGGAGATACAAGTGTTGAGGGCCTTAGCGCGCTGCTCTCCAGAGGCAATGCCCACAACTGTCTTAAGGATTAGGATATAAGAGAAGAGGATAATCAGAGCATCTAGGAAGAAAGTCAGTGCAACCAGAATAACTGGATATACACGATTAAATGTAACATCAGCACAGGCGAGTTTCATGACATCTTGGTGGAGGCAAAAGGCATGGGAAAGAACATGGGAACGGCAATATGGAAACCAATAGAGTGACAGAATTGGGGGTACAATGGACACAAAGCCCCTCATCAGTACCCCTAGTCCTACTTTCATTATCCGAGAATTGGTAAGAATGGAGTTGTACCTCAGAGGAATGCAGATGGCAATGAAACGATCATAGGCCATGGCAAACAAGACACCTGATTCGACAATGGCCAGTGAGTGAATGAAGTAGGACTGAGTGAAACAGGCACCCTGGGCAATTTCCCTCTGGTGCAGCAATAGAACACTCAGGACTGTGGGCATTGTAGTTAGTGTCATTCCAAGGTCTGTACCTGCTAGCATAGCCAGGAAGTAGTACATGGGCTCGTGAAGACTGTGGTCATTCCAGATAAGGAAGAGAAGTGTGCTATTGCCGAAAAGGATGGAGAGGTAGACAATAAAGAAGGGAATAGAGATCCAGTGGTGAATAGCCTCTGAGCCCAGGAAGCCAGTCAGCAAGAAAGGAGCAACACTGTTGTTGGACCACATGGTAGATTTTTCAGGAGGAGAAGAGCTTTTTCAGGGGCTATGACCTCTAAACATGAAGTATTCTTTCCTTCTCTCCATCTTCATGTAGCACATCTTCAGGCCGTTTTTCACCTCAAAACTTTCTTACAAGCTGAGGATTATCTCAGCTTTAACAGTAAGTTTGTATTCACAAAGCCTTTGCCTAGAATAACAAATAACATTAAAACTAATCATGTTAGTAATCTCAATAATTTACTCGTCAGTATCCAACTTTTATTCTCTCTATCACACATCTTGTGTTTCGATGACACATCTTACTCCTAGTTCCCAAAATCATTCCTTTGGCTCTGTTTCAGTCTTTTCACTCTTTTATTCCTCCTCATATTATGTTTCACGTAGGCTGTTTTTCTTTTCATTTGGGCCAGTTCAGATTTTCTCTCTTGAAACCAATCAGATACCTGTCTCACTGATTACTCACTGAGGAAAACGATTAATCAATAGAAATGAGTCTATGACCATGAAATTTTTGAGAAATGCAGTTACCAATATTTACCTTTGAAGTAGACCATGAATAGTGAGATGACTCACATGAGAGTCTAGAGAAATCAGCACAAGTGGGCAGAGTCAGTCAACCCATCTTAGAAAGGTGTGACTATTCAGTGGACTTGGGACTCTGGAAATTTTCTGTGTTGCAAAAGATCTGAGGCCTGCAACACGAGAGGCAAGCTTCAAAATAGGAAGAAAGACAGGATTTGAGAGCTCCTGGAAATATTTTAAGGAAGGGGGACTCCTAGATCAAAAGTCTCCTCAGAAGCCAGAAGACTAATACTCATACTGAGCCACAGATTAAAAACAAACAAAAGCATGAGTCTCTGAATGGCAAAAGCAATATCAGAAATTAATGATTGAATGCATAAACTTCACACAGACCATTCTAGGGAGAAGATAAGGACTCATAGAAGGAAAAAGATGATGACTATATTGCTGGTGGAGATAATCATATAGACCTACTAATATTTATGAATCTAGAAAACCAATATCCAGAAAATTAAGAATGGATTTTATGGGGAACTTTGAAATATAGCTTATGTATAATTACACTCTTATCAAATCAAGTTAGCTTTGTTTGCATACAACTAAGAAATTTTGTGGCAAGTTGATGACAATAGCAATTAAAGAGAACCACAAGAGAAACATTAGTTTCTCCCAAATTCAATTGAATCTATACGTGGCCAGGGTCTTTTTAAATATTCTTTCCTCTTATAAATATCACTACTGATATCTCTGAAGAGGAATTCAGGAAGAATGTGGTGATAGCAATCTTTGTACCACCTCCATTTCATAAAAACCTATAAAAACAAGAATAGATGTTTTTCTTTGAGAATTTGGCACATGGTACTATCTCTAATAGTGAGCAGTGGATGGTGGGGGGAGATAGATGGAGGAAAGGTGAATGTGCTGTGGAAATGACCACCACTTCAGGGGAATACTGTCAATGACAGAAAAGTCAATCTGGGCAATGAAGTAGCAGATATTCTGTTTATGTGGGTACTGATAAGTTTGCCAACCAACTTGATCTACCTTGACAACACTAATCTACCTCTACACAGCAGTGATGTGTATATTATCATAAATCATAATTCCCACCTGCTCCATCCCCTTAACGCTCCAACATTGCCTTTCTAATAAAATTGTAGTGTGGAGAGATAGAGAATGGATTAAGGCCACAACTTTTTTATGGTATTGGGACAAATGACCTATTTGGACCAGCTGTTACCCAGAAAGTGGACCAGAGGAAGGAAGTAGGAGAAAATCCAAACTTGCTTAGACTATATGGTGTTGTAAAAGTCTAAACTATGACTATTGGATTTCAAATGAGTTTTGGAATTGAGCTGAGCAGGGTTTAGGTACCCAAACTGTGTGGTAACCCCTTTGGGAATAGTTATTACAATATATCAATATTTTTTGATTGACCACAGTTAAAAGAATACGTTATTCATTATCTGAAGTACCTAGCAGCAGCCACATTGGCATTTAATTATGGTAAATTTGGCAGTGCAGGAACTGTTCACATTTCTCAAATGTGCCAGGGGGAATAGCTGCCCGGTTTAGGGAGTCTCTTAATGTGTGGTGTATGACATTAGTGACAGTGGTAACTTCAGTGGAATTTCTCATCCCCATCAGGCAAGCCTAGAGGCTCCATCAGAGATGCAGAGAGGACTGGAATTCACTATCCTCTCACCCCTCTCTAAGGTCTTCTTTGGGTTGATTCTCTGAAAATAGCTAATGCTGACTCCTCAATAATTTCCAAGTCATATAGACACATCATTCAGTGTTTGTTCAACTTGTCCTGCTGACTAGAGGCTGGGTAACTGTTCTAGAAATCAGTTAGAAAAACATAAGAAGTTGAAAAGAGAAGAGAGCACATTAGGGTCATGTTGAGAAAATGGAAAAATCTTCTCCTTACTTCTGGATAATCTGCAAGCACCTCATACAATCAGTGTCTCTTGACTCCATTCCCTTCACGCATACCTAGTGTCTGAGAATTCCTGCTCCTTTAGAATAAATTACTGATGATCGGAATAATAGGAAGCCATAGGCTGAAGACGACAATCTGAAAGATCTCAGCTATTAAGTGATTGTTTAAATCTTACCTTAGGTACAAGTTAAGATGAGAAAATAGATATGGGGAGAAAAGCTGCGAACCTAGGAAAACTTCTATTTTAGGATAGAAAGAAGATCTCAGAGGAGATAGACAAAGAAATAGGCAGAAATATAAGAGGATAGCAAAGATGATCTGTAATTACAAAAGCAGCTGGAAAAGAAATTTTATAGAAGTAGGTATTGTTGTAGTTTAATAGTGAAAAACGTCAAAGAATCGCCAAGTAAGATGAAAATGGAAAATATCCATTATTTTTCTCAAATAAGTCTTTGGTGATCTTCACAATTTTAATAGAACAGTAGGAATAGATGTCTAATGATTGTGAAATGGAGAGTGAATAAATAACAAGAAAGTAAAAACAATACACTATTTACATCCTTCAGATGAGAAAACTGAGCCTTCAAGAAGTTAACTAATTTGTCCATGGTACAAATATGTGGTATATAGCAATTCAAATACAGTCTTATCTGCCCCCAAGTTCATGTTCGCAATGAACATCCATTGAATATAAATGTAGTTCTCCTTCCAAGCTTGCCTTTCCATATGGTATCCCCTGTCTTGAATTCTTCATTTCATTAAAAAAATAAAAAAGACAAGCCAAATGCTTTCTCATCCTTTACAGAAGAACTACATAAGCCATGTAGAAAAGTTACTCTTAGACATCCTTGCTGCATTTGAATCCCTAGGTTTCCTTACGTGAGCCACAGCTCTCTCTTTGTGGTTCCTGAGGATGATCTGAGGATTGGTTTGCTGTTGTTTCCTCCAGTATGTGTTCAGAGTCCTGATGAGAGGTATATTTGTTAAAGAAACAACTCCCAAAGGAGTCATTCTAGCTCATTTCCACATAGGCTATTTGGGAATACCAAATAATCCTCTTTTCTTCTCCCATCTGACAAAGATCTGGGCCATTGAAGCTGGTCCTCAGACCCTCCATTTATTCTCTGGACAGAGAATCTCTGAGAGAAGCAGTGTCTCTCAGGTCAGATGTAGCACGGCCTATCTAAGTCACTCTCAAGTGTTCTATGGGTCATAGAATGGGAAGATCAGTCACTTTTTCTTCTTAAATGTTGGCATTTGGGAAACAATATTCCATTCCTCTTTTTTAAAACTATTCATGAATTATATTCTCACATGCCATAGTATTTTTAGGAATAACCATCTGAAGAGGCCATCCAATCCAACTCTTTACCAAATCCTTCAGCCACCACCTAACAATTTGATCAGACATCGATTTGCTGTTTCCATTGATTGGAAAATCCTACCATATGAAGTAATCCATTCCAATTTTTGACTGTATATTATATATATGTGTGTGTTATAAATATATATTTAAATATAAATCTACTTCTTTGAAATATCTACCTTTTATTCCTAGTACTTATCTCCATGATCCAATTGATCAGGTCTAAACAATCAATTCATATATTATGTCTAAATATTATGAAGACATCTACATTTAATACTTTTGAGACTTCTTTCTTGATTGTTGATCATCCACTAGGACATTAATTATTTATCACATAATGATTCTTATTCCTGATTAATCTCCTATCTCCTACTCCTAACTGGACATAATAATCCAGATGTTGTCAGATCAGTCTCATTCTGAAAATCTCTTCCACTGGATCACATGCTCACCTTCTATTTAAGCAGTCTGTGAATGTGCAGCTCTAAAGCTATGTATCCAAAACCCTCGTCTCAAGACACATTTCAGAATTCAGTCTTTCAGATTTAAAAAAAGGAACAATATGTATATTCTATACACTGTATATGGCACTCCCAGCAGCTTGCACCCTGTAACACCCTATAAACTATTACCTGTTTATCTTAAGGGGATAAAAAATATCTTCTCAATGTTTAGGTCAGATTTTGCCACAATGTGAATTTAGATCACGTCAGATTTTGCCAATAAACGCATATCATAATTCATTTTGCAGAACCTTTTGGTTTCAAAATTATAATTAAGTGGTTGTAGATTGTTAATAACTTTATTATCAAGTCAATTCACATTAGACTCATAATAAACTAAAACTTCTGAAAGATTTTTAAAGGAGTTGCATTTTCAGTGCATAGCACAGAGCTTAACACACGGTTGGAGTATTAGTTGAGTGAATGAATGCAGAATCGCACGATCAAGCAGTTGGATTTGTGGTCAAATTGTACATTTTTTACTTTTATTTACAATAAGATTAATAGTTTTAGATTCAATCCCTTGCTCAAGCATGTCAAATCATGATCTCTCCTTTTCTTTATTGTTTATCATTTATGTATCCCCAACTTTTACATCAACCATATTATGGAAAGAAATACATAACATGATAGGATCAAGAAGAGAGATTTATGGGTCTTTTTTCCTTCT